CCCGTACACGCCGTCCTTTGGATGCGCCCTGTATATTATATATATATATATAGTATATCAATTCCCGTTATATTATATAATCATTAATGGGTCTTGATATAGCCAGTAGACTTGTACATTGCGTTTTATTGCGATCGCGACCTTGCTTAGCTCAATTTAGATAAAGCGCCCTGCGATCACTACCCACCTGATTTAAGGCCTGAATTTTAAAAGCGCTGATGTAATTAATCACTGTATAAACATTGTTTGTCTGTGTGACAGTGCGGGCTTTATTTCGTGGACAAACTGTTTATTGTTACACTAATCGTAGTTATAAGCATATTCATATTTTCAAAGCCTTAAATTTCTGCATTGATAATCTATGGAATTTACTGTTGCATTAGTTTGCATATACGGCACGTGCGAACTTGTTCATTTATTTTATATTACTTACTTAGCATTCATGTCGTTTTTTCATGTAATTTTTTTCCTACACCTGCGTAGTTGTATGCGTAATATGCACCAAACAAGAGTGTTTTGCAGTCGTAGGTGGTTTTTTCCCTTTGAGTACCGGGCATCCGTGCCCTCTCTGCCGGAGTTGGTACTCTAACCTTGTATAGGCAGTGCATCAGGTTGCAAGCCATGTTCGAAGTGCGAAGGAGACATGTGTGCGACCTGTAAATGCAATGTAATACTGCTATAAAGGTTAAACATGTACTCTCCTGTTTAACTCCAATTGTTGTTTCATGACATTATAGTTCATATGATGAGATTTTTGTGTGCTAATTGTTGTTGAATTAATGTGCAACTTTAAGGTTTGCATGTATTAGGAGAAATGTGACTGTATTAATAACTCTACATATATCCATTCACTACAATGAACATGTATCTAGTTTTGTTTGTTATAGCGCGCTTTATTTTACGAAATTATAACCTGGGAATAATCTATAATAATAATAAAGTCAATAAATAATAATAAATAATAATAATGTTATGAATTTGTTGCCAATATTGTCTTCTGCAATACATTCTGTCATCATGAGTGCCGGGAGCACGCGTAGTGAATGGTAACAGTAATCAGCATGCAAGTATGGAATAGCGGGCGGGAATGCTGAGCTCCCCCTCTCTCCTCCCGTCCTCCTCCTCGCTCCTCTCTCCCCTCTGCATCCTCATCCACCTCCTCCTCACTCTCCTCGCCACCGAAAGATATGTGCCAATTTTCCGGGATGGCCCTCTAACGGTATAATTCGTAATAATATATATATATATTTATATATATTCATATCGCGTGTGTGTGTGTGTGTGTGTGTGTGTGTGTGTGTTGTGTGTGTGTGTGTGTGTGTGTGTGTGTGTGTGTGTGTGTGTGTGTGTGTGTGTGTGTTGGTGTTAGTGTGTGGTGTGTGTGTGTTTTATAAGAATATAAATTGCTACAGACTTGATTACATTTCGCGGTTTAGGGCATCATCTCGCGTAATTTCACGTCATTTCGCGTCATTGCGCATCATTTCGCGACATTTCGCGACATATCTCGTCATTTAATTAATTAATTTAAAATTAATTAGCATTTTTATTTAATTTAAGATAATTTAATAACAATTTAACTTTAATTTAATAAAAAAACATATTTTATTTCATTTTATTATGATGATTTTGAGTCATTTCGCGGTTTGGAGGCCGTCATTTCGCGTCATTTCGCGGCATTTCGCGTCATTTCGCGATTTAGTAGGCCCCATCGCCATCTAGCGGTCAATTCGCAGTCATGGCGGCGTTTCCATGTTGTTTGGCGAGGAAATATAGAAAATAAGCAGCGTCTGTGTTTACGCACTGTTGTTCATGTGATTGTAGGGTATTACAATGATCGTTGTAAACAATATGGTCAAGGATTTCTGAACTTGGGAATTCTCAGAATAATCATATTTTCTAATGCTTCTATTATTCAAAACAAACAGAAACACCATTGATACGCGCGTCGTACCGAATAGCAGCATCACGGTTACTGCTGCTGTACAGCGTGTACAGATGCTGGGAGTAGCTTGATTGCTTAGTACCGCGGATAGTAGTCGTTTTTAGGTTGGAAAACACTGAAAGGTAAGCGCAGGAATTCTAAATGGGCTTAATTCCATGAATGTGACACTGATTGACTATATTATTCCAAATTCCAGGATTCAAAATTTAATTTCAGAGAGTAAATTTGAGAGATATTATTTCTGTTACTGTTAGTATTACTAATAATACTAATTAGGGTACCGGGTACTATTACTATTAGTATTACTACTATCATACGTTTTGCAACGGCCAAGATACGTTGATTAGGCTTGTCCTTGTAGCTTCGCAGGCCCAAGGATAGCCACAAGTTCCCATCTCGCTTAACACTACGTGGCGAGAGGGTCACAAACCGACGCATTAGAATTTTGGGCGCAAATCCACTTTAGGCACCTTAGGTATCACGAAGTGATGCACAGATTTCTGTGTATCATCAACTGATGCACAGACGTTCCGTATATCAAGGAATGATGCAAAAACCCTAACCCTAAACCGACCAGGCTCTCCGACTGTTACACGATGGAGGAGCCTGACACCCTTCCATACGAAATACCTGGTAGCTTGAAAACAAACTCCTAATTTCGTAAAATTGCGTAATTAAAACAATGTATTACCACATTTGACCTCACCTGTTACATGTTTGCAACTATCGCATCATTTCTTAATAACTATTTACCTCGAAATACACGTTAAAATAAGAGAATTTCGAACAGCGCTATAATATTTGAACGTTGTAAAACGCCATACTGGATGTTCTTATGTCTATGCGCGAAAACTACACGAGATTCGCCACGAACTTTCGCTACGTATTATGGGATATCTATTGAAAAATGGCGGAAATGGGGGCGCTTGTTTGGAGTTTCATCTTATCAATTCTAATAATTGCTCGCTGACACGTAAATACATACTCAGTGATAGCGCACATATAATAAATTGAGGCGTGGAAGTACAGAAAAGCGGTAAGAATCATAAAAAGTGAGATAACAACGTTAAATAGCAGCGCACATACTACCGAACATATTTCTAATGCATCGGTTTGTGACCCTCTCGCCACGTAGTGTTAAGCGAGATGGGAACTTGTGGCTACCCTAACCCTAACCAGTAACCCTAACCCTAACATTAACACACTTCGTGATACTTAAGGTTATACGTTATGACTTAGGGTTAGGGTTAGGGTTTTTGCATCATTCCTTGATATACGGAACGTCTGTGCATCAGTTGATGATACACAGAAATCTGTGCATCACATCGTGATACCTAAGGTGCCTAAAGTGGATTTGCACCGAATTTTGTTCGGCAGTACGTGCGCTGCTATTTAACGTTAAATTATCTAACTTTTTATGATTCTTACCGCTTCTCTGTACTTCCGCGCCTCGATTTATTATATGTGCGCTATCACTGAGCATGTACTTACGTGTCAGCGAGTAATTGTTTATAAATTGATAAGATAAAACTCAAAAAACGGCGCCATTTTCCCATAGATATCCCATAATACGTAGCGAAAGTTCGTGAATTTTCGCGTACAAGAAGAGACATAAGAACATCCAGAATGGCGTTTTACAACGTTCAAATAGTATAGCTGTTCGAAATTCTCTTATTTTAACGTGTACTTCGAGGTAAATAGTAATTAAGAAGTGTAGCGATAGTTGCAACATGTAACAGATGAGGTCAAATGTGGTAATACATTGTTTTATTTACGAAATTTTACGAAATTCGGAGTTTGTTTTCAAGCTACCACTGGGTACCAGGCATTTTCGTATGGAAGGGTGTCAAGCTCTTCCGCCGTGTAAGAGTCTGAGAGCCTGGTCAGTTTAGCCCAAGGATAGAGAACATAGGTCCCAACACAGGCACTTGGAACGTCTCAATAAAAAAAAATAATGGTAAATAAACACGAAATGTACCAAAGTCTCAATGTTTCTCTACTCTATTTCGCCTATAATCACCTGTAAATGCCGGTCAAGTGCTCATCTGCAACACACAAGTACACCGAACGCCCGCCTGCGTTGTGCTGCATGCACAAACAACATGAATAAGAGAGCAGGTAGGAAAGCGGGATTGAAAAATTCGTTCGACGCTCGCTTCATTTCACACCATCACAGCTCGAATACACATCCTACAGCTTCCATCTTGGTATCTATGTGTACATAAATGTTCACTTGTTCAAATTATAACTCTGGCCTTTGTTCTTACCTACTCCCACCAGAGATATCTCGTGAAATCCTGCAGGAAATGTTCTCTCCGTGAAAATGTAAAGAGGACGTTATCATCCGAAAATCCCTAACGGCACTACTTTCGATCGATCGCTGTAGTCGTGTGTGCGTGACGTCATGCCCGCGCGCATTGTTCTTGGCTTGGCGGGCCTCGAAATGGAGCTCGGAGGCCGGCAGCAGCTCATCCCGGCATGCAATGCGCCCCATTACTCGTGTATAAACAGACATCTCGTCCTCTTTACATTTTCACGGATAGAACATTTCCTGCAGGATTTCACGAGATATCTCTGGCGGGAGTAGGTAAGAACAAAGGCCAGAGTTATAATTCGAACGAGTGAACATTTATGTACACATAGATACCAAGATGGAAGCTGTAGGATGTGTATTCGAGCTGTGATGGTGTGAAATGAAGCGAGCGTCGAACGAATTTTTCAATCCCGCTTTCCTACCTGCTCTCTTATTCATGTTGTTTGTGCACGCAGCACAGCACGGGCGGGCGTTCGGTGTACTTGTGTGTTGCAGATGGGCATTTGACTGGCATTTACAGGTGATTATAGGTGAAATAGAGTAGAGAAACATTAAGACTTTGGTACATTTCGTGTTTATTTACCATTATTTTTTTTTATTGAGACGTTCCAAGTGCCTGTGGGTCCCAATAAAACCAATGTGCCTAACCCTAACCCTAACCCTAATCATAACCCTAACCCTAACCATAACCCTAACCTATTATATTGATATAATATTATATTTATATTGATGTAAATGACATTGGTTTTATTGGGACCCATGTTCTCTATCCTTGAACCGCTTCGCATCTTACTATCTTAGCTCCCTAGAACTACACATTTTACTACATATTTATTTGAGACCTTCATTATGTCCATTTTATTATTGGCTGTGGCTACGGGTACGGCAGCCGTATCTTAATGTCTCGAGGCTGGAGGTACGGGAGTCCATTCGCTTTCATACTTAACGAGACAAAGATAGCGGCGGGTGGCGCCAGATTTCGAAATAACGCCTTGGGAAATAAATTCACGATTTGAGAGTTTAGATGAGCTAGAACCCTAACCCTAACCCTAACACTAAAAAGGGGCTTCAACGAACGGCAGCTGCCGTACCTCCAGCCACTGCGTTTATTATTACTATACCTCGGTTGCAGGTAGTCTCACTCTCAGTCATACATCGCTCATGTATAGTTTTGTATTACTCGATCATATTGCCGTTCTTGGATTAACTTTGTGTAGTAACTTTATATTACAGTGTGGTTGACTTGAAGACTGTACAGTCAATTCGCTCTCCCTCGCTGCATTTACTGACAAATTGTTATGACATACAGGGGTAGAAATTAACTTTTGAACACGGGAGTCCAAGGGACTCCCTACCCTCAAAAAGAGGGAGTCCGCAGTCTGAGGTTAAAAATTAAAGATACTAACAATAACGCATTGCTTATTTTTAAAGCCGCACAATGCGCATCCAAACGCTAATTTCTCCAGTACTAAACTAGCAAATACTTCGTGTCATGCATAATCACACTACCTTATGACAAAATAAACTAGTTGCTCCCATTTCACTGCGCGTTTGCTTAAAACCCACAAGAAAGAGGTGAGAAAACTGGCATTCTGGCGCAAACGCCGACTGTTTGCCAAACAATTTAGCCTCGAAGTGGTGAGGTGACGTCACATGTTTTTATCTTTGCTACACCCGTACCGCTGTACCGCAGCACTGCTGCCCGCTGCACGGTTGCTTGGGGAAACTGTCAACAACATCGGAGAATTTGAACAACATTGGAGGTATTTTCAAATATCTTTTATAAGACAACGCGCAGTGAAATGGGAGGAACTAGAGTTTATTTTGTCATAAGATAGTGTGATTATGCATGACACGAAGTATTTGCTAGTCTAGTACTGGAGAAATTAGCGTTTGGATGCGCATTGTTGCGGCTTTAAGATTCATGCAGTTGCACGTCTGCCAAATTTTCTTTGGACATTAGCTGAAAAATACGGTAATTCCGCGAGGCCATGCTCTGGAATGAACTAGTTAGTATGGCAGAATTTTCAGGGAGTCGTACGGACTCCTGCATATGTCAAATCAGGGAGTCCGACAGTAAATCGGGGAGTATTTGACTCCGGACTCCCGTTAATTTTGCAACCTGACATATGTAACTATGTACTATTTAAAAGCGTTAATAAATTCCAAAATCAAAATCAATCACATTTCATAGCCTTGGTCAAGTGCTACTGGTAATACTTGGTGCAAGAATATTATTAATAGCTTCAGCTCTATTGCCCCCAGGCTCCATTTGCGTTGTAGCTTAAATGCTGAACAGTTGCTGCTAACTACAGTGCTAGAGCTTGTTACTATGTATTAATTGACAGTAGGTAGCACATCATGATTTTGAGAATTGAAAGTTTTCCTACTGCCTTGTAAACTCACCTTGAAGCATCTCCATGCCTTGCAAATGCTCCTTTTGCATGTGTCCTTTTACCATGACGTGACAGGTAGCAATATCTCTTCTTGAATAGTTGATACCACACAGACGTAGAACAGTTTGGGTGTTAGTCGCTGTCATTGCTCTTAAAATATCGTACATCCTAAAAGGAAGTGTATGACAGGAGTGCCTTGCTGAGGGAAGCATCCTTTAACAGAGGTCACCATAGCACATTGCTTGTAAATATTAATTTTAACTAACTCACAATAACCCCACTCTCACCTGCAACATGCCTTTGTATTACTCGCTATGAGTATGACATACTTATCAGGGTGCGAAATTAACGCGAGTGGAGTCGAATACTCCCTGCTTTACTGTCGGACTCCCTGATTTGACATATGCAGGAGTCCGTGTGACTCCCTGAAAATTCTGCTATACTAACCCGGGTTTCTTATATACATAAGAGGCAACTTCCAAGTGGCGCACCGCCGTTTTCAAATTGTTCCCCCTGTCCCTCTCTCCCCCTGCGTCTGCATGCAGAAACCACATTAAATATATATGTTTTCATGCCCGTTAAACAAAAATCTCTTTGCCAAGACTTCGTTAAAAGAGGTATGATAGTAAGTTAATTTCTTGGATTTAACACAATATAAATATGAATTCATAGTTTCAACGAAATCCAATGAACTTATTTCATTCAGGTATGATAGTATATTGATGACACTGCAGGCCTCGACGCTTACTTTCAAATCTGGTTGTCCTGTCGGGCAACAAGAAGCAATTTTTACTTGTCCGAATTTTGATTTTACTTGTCAAAAATTTACTTGTGCAATCTATGAGCCGTTAATGTCCTCTTTTGGTTCAGTGCATATCATATTATCAGGAGTGTATAATATAGAGACCTATATCAAGGCTCGACACTAACTTTTTTTTTCAGTGGCCCGATCGGGCCACCAAAATCATTGATTTTCAATTTTTGGTGGCCCGAAAATGAAATCTGGTGGCCCGAAAAAAAAGAAGAAAGAAAAACACATCTTTATTTCAATCTCGTATTGTATATTATTTGAAAATTGGGCCGTCTGATGCACTTGCACAAGTCTTTAAACAAACCCCACACAATGGCACACACTGACATTGATGATTGAGGCATACATTTGTTTTTAAAATTAATGTTTTTAAAATT